GCACCCATAGCCTGGAATTTCAGCTTTGACTATGACTGGCTCAAAAGAACAGTGAAACTGTGAGAGTGTGATTTTAGGCAGATTTGTGACAGCCAGTCTATAAAAGTGAATTAGCAGAAAACTACTGCTTGTTTGTTGAGGGATTTTAACTCAGTACGTTGATCTCTCTACACTGCTGTTACTCACACCTGAGCTCGTCAAACTCAACTGTCTGAAAAGGGAACTCTTGTGTCCTGGTCCATCTCTCAACACTTACTTAGACAAAAAAAAAATCATCCTTTCAATGCTAAAGCTGCACTAACAGGAAAACAAACAACACATAATCTCACATCCTGATAGAAACCTGGCTTCATTTGGTGTCTACTGCCTCTGTGTATGAAGTGTGCTATATAAATAAAGCTGCCTATGCAAAAAAGAGGGAAAAGAAACATCTTCCATTTTGAAGTACTTTCATAATAAAGAGCATATTAACCCTGCATTGAATGTTTAAGACTGTTGCCTCTTGAGCAGCCAGCTACAGCAGAACAGGGGCTTGTAACACTTGAAATAGTTGCTCTAGCCCAACTGGCACTGCCTCTGATTCAACCAGTTCTTGCCTATTAGGGCAGAGACACACCAAGCCAACATGAAAGAACTAGCAGCGATTTAGGCTGACTGCTGTGTCCCCTCATGTTGCCTTAGTCTGGGCCAGTCAGGTTGAAAAAGTGGCACTTTACAATGCACAAACTACAGCCAATGGCCAACTAGCATGAACGTTCTGTGCCTGCACAACAAAAATTACTCCCCCTACAGAGCAAGTGGCGGTCTGATGCTTTGCATCAAACAAAGTGCTCCCTTTTCCTCACTAAGTTGCGTTAACCAATAGCAGAAATGCATTACACCATGTGACAAGCTGTAGACAGGAAGGAGAGACTGATTCAGAAACAAATCCAAAATGTGTGACATTGTGAAAGAATGTGAAACTCTATTTTTCAAATATTGCGCTGCCTGCCCTGTACACCGAGTGCCAAATAGCAGTTGAGGCAGAAATAAGTCATTTTGCAGATATTAGTTGCGGTTACTGATTACTGCAGCTTAGTGAGGAAAATGGAGCACTTAGTTTGATGGAAGAGATCTCACTGCTAATGAAAACATTGTCACGTGAGACTGAGATTGCACAGTGATCTAAATTACACTCACAAAATGATTTATTGTGCAGCCAAGTGAAATCATGGCTTCAAGGGATCTTGCATCTATCACAGGTTTTAAGTGGTTTGATTTCACCCAGAATTAACACAAATATATAACATTTACCGCATTTGCTATATTTTTCCCTCACATTCAGCTCTACAGAATACAGCACACCCATATCCATCTCATCAGACAGACACTACATAGGTTTCAACAAAGTGAGCATAGTGCGTGATCTAAGAAGTTAAACACTATGCCATTCCAGGTACATGACGTCACAATATATTACAGCTCTGTTCTTCTCTAATCTCTTTCACAAAAAAAGTGAACTGCTGCTGAGTTCGCTTCCTAGAAAAATTCAAACATTCTGATCAGGAACCACAGTATCTTAAGAGTAAGCCGTCTGATAATATGTCTTTGCATATTATGCACATTTAGCAACAGGCCAGATATGACTAAATATGTTGCAGCACTTATCTTACTGTTATAACAGCTTCACTGAAGCGTATTAAACAAAAAACACTGGTCTAGCTCCTGTTCTCAAAGATAAGTTCAGGTGCACAAAGGACATCTGGACTATTTTTGACTGGTGTCAAAAAGCACAAGTGACCCATATAAAGAAAGAGTCATCTTATGACATAATGGCAACTCATAAATACTATTTTACAACATTAAGCATCAATATCACCATATTGTGTTAGCAAATGTTGTACTGTATGTGCGACATGCAAAACATTTGCTTGGGCTAGCAGAAAGTTACTGGAAAATGAAAATGGGATCAAAGATTACACCAAACACAGGGCTGATCATAAGGCAGCACACAGGCAAATTAAGAGTGGTTCTTTCAAAACATTTGCAGCGTCTCACACACCCGTTTGTAACTGTAGTAATAACTAATCTTATGGTAGCTAATGTTTGCACGCCAGACCTTTCATAAGAGCAACAACAAATAGTTTGGTGGGATACATTGGGCAAACTGTTTCATCTACAGTACAATGAAAGTAAAAGCTGATCTAATATTTAAATATAGCTGTAAACGTAACATTACATCGACTGCTTTCATCCTGACATAACGTTATTTGACTTGACTGCATCATTAGCAGTAATGTGTAGAAATCACGGCCATAAAACTTGAGATTGTCTCTGAGCCAAATTAGTAGATCTAAAGAGAACATGGATTATAAAAACAAAGCTTATGAATGGGTTGTTTCGTTTGCAGTATGTATGCAGTTACAGCTACTGCTTGTCTGGCAAACTTGTCACTGCAATGACGGCAGCGTTACAAAGCCCTGAAAATGTCCCCACAATGTTCGGTAACTTAAGGTTTGCGTTTGCACTGGGCAAACAGTGTTGCCACACTAACCAGGGTATGTGCATCTACCACAGAGTTCACTAGCCAAAACACGGCCTTTCTTGGCACCAAACTAGCGATCTTAAAGCAAGATTAGCTGGATGGTTTGTTAACGTTAGCAAGCTAGCTAGCCAGCTAGCTAGCTAACTCGATCGCCCGCTAGGTTCGCCGAAACAAAACGGGTTCAGGCCTGTAATTTTGCCACGGTGTTTAGGTACATATAATTGATATGACATCGTGCTGTTATTTATGCATGAACTCCAAGCATTTGTGATTATTCTAATGATTTATGAAGGAGATTCGTGTCAGTGGCTTTACGATCAAAAAGACAACTAAAAGGGTTGAAAATGGGAAGTCAACACTTACCTAGCTTTACTTTCTACGCCATCTTGGATCCACTTATGAGACCTTCGCAAAGCATAGTGGGATGTACTGATCTGAAGGTTGAGAGGACTGTGTGCGTGCGCGTGTCCACACACGCGCGACTGGCCTCTGAAACTGTGAACTTTGCTCCTGTCAAACTGTATAGGGGCTGTTTTCTGATTTAATGTATATTTTAACAATGCTCTTTTAAAACACGAATGCCCATAAATAACTTAATTTGTTACTAAATAAAAAGTCAGAAAAGCTAAGATGTCATTAATCCTCAGCAATTACAACAATAAGACAGAACAAATTATACAGTAACTGATTCTTCCATAGCTGTGCTGTGAACTATAAACAATGTGCACTAACTAATTAAAGAAATCAGAAGTAACACTATTATTATAAAAAATCATGATGTCTATTTTAATCATTAGTCATAATATTGTCTTGCCATACTTGAAAAAAGGTGTTCATGTTTTATTAATTCTTCAGGCTAAAAAATATCTTCATTTGAAATTAGTTTTGTATTTCCACCAGACTACTTTTTGCCATGTCAAAACTTGGTTAACTGACAAAGCCCAAACTAGCAATGTAATTCCCTCCTTTTCCATCGAACAAAATACGCCATTGTATTTCTTTTCCCAGCCAACTAAGTCACCAACATCTGCAGATGCTGCTTCTGTCAGAGGACAACTACAAGAGAAGAAGATGATGAGATGACATCAGTGTCAGTGAACTGTTACACTGATAATGACGACATCCAAACTTACCTCACCTCTGATGACTAATTAGCTAAATGTCTTACGGAGGGCTGAAGGGTGCCAAATAAAATTATACTCAAAAAAACCCATGCCGATTTTTCTTATTAATGTATTTATATATTTCCTTTAATTTGTCACCAGTATGCAGATTAAAGTGTCCTGTGGAGCTTTTTAATTCTACTAGCTGCTGTGTTAAAAATAAGTCACTGACACATTAACTAGCATGGAAGTTACAGGGGGCCAAGATCTTGAAAAGCTCAAACACCGTGACTGAACTTCAAACCATTTCACAATTACATGACAATATTCTGCATAAATTGTACAACAGCTTCAGTGCAGCCTCAGACCAGTGTAGTACCTAACCTTGCCTAATGTTAATGTGGTCCTGGCTAACCGTTGCTCCATTATATTAATCTTTGCTGACAATTTCAAAATCAGCAACTGTAACAGCAGGATCATTTTGGAGATGGATGCATGAATTTTCTAACAAATAATTTATCAATTCCTCTTTTCACCACACAAGTAATTCTGTAGTATATTACTTGTGTGGTGTAGAGGATAATTATTTATGTAGAGATATTGCTTAGGACTTAAAAGTTGTAAGATCATGTCATGGGGTAGGACTGGATAAGTCTAACTTCTTCCTACTCCGTTCAAGCATGTACTAGGTATAAGTAAATTGATATTGGATTATTATTGTTGGATATGTGTGAAATTACATGTGTTGACATATCAACTGTTTTACATGCTTGAATGAATAAATCAAATCAAATCAAATCAATCTGTATTGGTTACTCTTGTCCTGTTGCCAAAATAGAAGTAAAACACTTCATTAACTTGACCTAGAAAACCAGATATCAGCTCATCTTACAGGAAGCATGTAAACTGTAACAACAGTCAGGATCTGTAATAGCATACAAGCAGAAGTGTCAGTTTATTCATGTTAAATGTCTTCAAATCTCTATTTTCTTGTATTGGACTACACCTTGTACACGTTAATGTATATGGACTTAATAAAAATCATGACTCACCATTTCAGGAGTCTCTTGACTTGAGCTGAAGTTTTTTTCTCTCCACCAGTCTCTTATGTTAATTAACAGCAATCTGATAAATTAAGTGATGCTACAGCAGTACCATTCTGCAACATTGCTTCAATTGAAAGCAAGCTTCACATTATTGCATTTCTACCTGCTGCTTTTATCAATTTTTAGAAGCCATGTTTACGAGGGTATGAACACTTGTCGTATTACAATGTGAGCCAATAAGGTAAAATTAAAACGAACACAAAAATTATTTAAAAAAAAAATGTTAAAACAATGTACAAATCTTAACCAAATGTGAAGATTTTATTGTTTACATTACCAAGTATATATGTAAGAGGAGGGTTTTCAGCCATATTGTCATATAGCAATAAATGCTAAATGATTGTATGGTGGCATGTTCCACAAATGGCAATGGGAAACGTATGTGGAGATCCAGTCTTTGATGACACCAACAGAGGGATGCAAAGAGGGGAGGTGCTCGTGTATTTATTCTCAATGCATTACTTGACAGTAAAAAAAAAAGAAAAAAAAAGTTGGTAGGCTGTGTATATACTGCAAATTTTTCTCCAATTACAGAACATTGGAATAAAGCTGTATTCACAGTCTGCCAATATACTGTATATATACATTAAAAAAAAAAAATCCACGAAAGGAAAAACAACTAACATGGACCAAAACATAAAAATAATGCACTAAGTTCTTATTTCACTGCAGGTTGTGGATCATCTCCTCCTTGGCAATGAGATGTGTGGTTTTGTTGACCAGTGCCATAAGAGAGCTGAGTTTGTGAGACCAGTCGTTGAGCAGGTCGTTGGGATCTTTGGGCCTCTGGAAGTTGATGATGCCAGCCAGCCGGTCCACCTTGGCATAGATGGTCTTGTTCACAACTAGGTTGGAGAGGAACTCCTCAGATTCCTGACAAAATATTTGACCACACAAACATCATGTTAACATCTTTCCAAACTTTCCTCAGTGAGGTCAAATACAGTTAATTCAATTCTGTACTTCAAAAGCAACTGCACAAGACATATTACCTGAAAAGGAAAACAAAAAACCCACAGATATTTATACACCATTCTAAACAGCCTATCAATCAGTGATACAAATTATTTTATGGAATATTTTTGGAACTTCCTTTTTAGATCTACCTAGTTAGCCTCAACTAGTGATCCAACAGCAAATGTGCTTTTTCTGTGCCGTTACCGTGAGCTAATTAGCTTACATCAATGGAGAGGTCAAGGAGTCCAGCCATCCTCTTCATTGTGATTCTGGTGTAATATTTAGCCATGTTTGACCTCCGTCTCTGTGCTAGCAAGCTAATAAACTAATTTTCATTAACCCATTCTGAACGTGTGTCTCTCTGCTCCAAGTCAGAAGACCAGACTCCTGATTGTGTGACTTACATGCTCCACCACTCTGTTTTTCAGGTCCTTCCACCTTTTCTCCCCCTCTTCTGTGTAAGAGAAGACATCTGTGGCAGGGCTGTCGGGTGAGCCCTCCCTCAGCTCCTTCCCATAGTCTTCCACCAGGGAGGTCCAGCGCATCATTTATTAAACTAACATTTCTCAGCTGAACGATTAACTTAAATATGTACAGTCTTGGTTAGCTGTTTTTAGGAAATTGATTAGTTTCACCAGTTTGACCTCCGTCTCTGTGCTGGCAAGCTAGTAAACTAATTCTCATTAACCCATTCTGAATGTGTGTCTCTCTGCTCCAAGTCAGAAGACCAGACTCCTGATTGTGTGACTTACATGCTCCACCACTCTGTTTTTCAGGTCCTTCCACCTTTTCTCCCCCTCTTCTGTGTAAGAGAAGACATCTGTGGCAGGGCTGTCGGGTGAGCCCTCCCTCAGCTCCTTCCCATAGTCTTCCACCAGGGAGGTCCAGCGCATCAGCTCCATAGTGGTGAACTGTTTCAGAAGGTCCCTGGGAATCGAGGAAGAACATAATGAAAATCCCTGGGTGTTCACACCTTGATGCAGAGGGTATGCACCTGATGTCACTGCATGTGAAATTTGCTATGGTTAGCTCCCGAGTGGCAAAGAAACAACAGCCCTGCCCTCTTGCATTTACATGGAAAGAAGCCATTAAACTACTAAAATGGCAAATGCTGTTGTGCAATAAACTACATAGAAAGGTATTTAGTTACATATACTGTATATACACAAATGTGCACATAGTGCTGTGAAAAAGTCTTAGGCCAGCATTAGTTTTGCTATTTTAGCAAGGTTGTAATGACACATTTAGTCCTGTCTCTTTATTAAGATATAACCAGACATAGGCAATATGACTACAATTTTATTAAAACAAATTGTTCAGAACAAAATGGCTTCCACAGACCAAAGTCTGTGTTTAGTGCGGCCTAGCCTTAGCACAGCTTGAGTTCTTTTGGGAAGATGGTCTTGAAGTCTTGAAACCATGACAAATCCTCCAACATGTTTTACTGAAGGCTGCTACACTCGTTCTTCCACCTCTCCAACTCTTCTTCTCACATACTGTCGACGACTGAACCTGAACATTTCAAATCTCCATTCATCACTCCAGTCCATCACATCCTTTTCCACTGATCTGCACTCCAAACTTTGCATACCTCAGCCTTTTCTCCCTCCTGCCTCCTGAAAACATGGTTTCTTGGCTGCTGTCCTTCCACAAAGGCCGTTCCTGATCAAGTGTCTTCTGTGGATTGATCAACTTGGCATCCAGCTAAAGCTGCCAGATGCTGAGCCAGGTCCTTGTTGGATTTCCTCCACTCTCTCAAAGATGAAACTTGGATAAACTTCTCATCAGATTCTGACAGTTTTCTTGGTCTTCCACTCCAGTTTTTGTCCTTGATCTCTCCAGATTCTTCACATTTCTTTACAACAGCTTGAATACCACATCTGGAGTGTCCAGTTTGTTTGCAGAGTTTTTCTGACAGTTTTGTGTTTTTAATAATGTGTTTTCATATATTTTCTAGTTGTATTCTGATATATGTGTGTGTGTAGGTCAAAGAAAATTAATTTGCTGGTCACATTTTACAATCCACTAAACAATGTCAGTGCAAATTCCCACATCTCATTATGTGGCTTAATTGATTAATTAACGATGAAGCCAAAATGCCAAGGTGTGTATCTTACTTGTATTTAGGGATTTCCTCCAGTTTCTTGTCTGCGCTGATTCTGTGCACGAGGTCTGACTGCTCGTTATCATAAGGGGAAAGAATCACGTACAGCACCACACTCTTCAGGGCCTGTAACACAAACATATTTGTTGCTTTAGGAGCACCTGTCAAAGTGAAGCCTAGATTTCAGGACCAATACTAAATGAGAGCTTTTAACCTACATTAGGGTGTTTTACACTCCCTGATTCACACTGCATACATTTTAGCATTTTGTATGTGCATCTTATGTGAGGGCTGGAATGATGAATCAGCAATTAGCACTGCCACTTCACAGCAAGAAAGGTCTGGGTTTGAGCCCGGGTCGACCCAGAGCCTGTCTGTGTGGAGTTTGCATGTTCTCCATGTGGGTTCTCTCCGGGTACTTCATCTTCCTCATACAGTCCAAAGACATGCAGCTTAGGTTGATTAGTGACTCTAAATTGATTGCATCTTTTTGTGTTGATTGATCACATTCATGTTTATAAGTGATGTGTATCTGAATCCATGTGTGATTGTGCAAAAATGTAACTGAAATGTAACTGAAATGTGACCAACATGCGTACAAGCATAAGGTCATTGTGTGACAGAGAGATCAGATATAAATATCAGATATGTAATGCGCAGTAGTGGATTTAAAAGAAAAAATTCTGACTGTCAAATCTGCCTATGTACAGCAACTGTATTCTGCATTCATGAAATGTTTAAAATATACCACAGGCTTCAGAGAAAGCCCAAGTACCTGCTGCCATTTGCTGCTGTCCTCCAAGATGCAGGGGGTGTCATAAATGGCCCTGTAGTGCTTACAGATAGACAGGTAGGAGCCCTCGTGCTGGTCCACCTGAATCATCAGGTTGTAATACTTCAGCTTCAACTCCTACAATTTTCAAGAGACAAAAAGGAAATGTTTGTGGTCTGTTAGCCCAACCTATTGAGCTCAGACTCACCAATAACTGCTTCCAAAATCCCGCTGTAAAGGTGAACACACATACAAGTCATAAAATAGTTTTTTTTCTCCTTTATTTAAAAGAAGATGGTGAAGATGTACGCAAGAAACATGGGGAGACATTACAATATGTGATTAACGCTCGGCTCCTGGTATCTCTCTTACCTCGGTGCCCTCCTCTTGGAAGAATTTGGTGTTTATCTTCTTGCTGATGATCTGGGTGCGAATATAATCTTTGACAGCAATGCAAAGCCTCATCTGTTCCAAGATAAACTCCACCTTCTCCTTTTTCTCCATGGAGCCATAGGTCTCCACCTAAGCCAGACAAAGTAAATCTAAGCACCTTCCTTATAGCAAAATATGAAACTTGTCAATTCATGTAGTTTTTACATTTATTGTATATTTTCCTCTATAGAAATATAGTGACAAAACATCAACATGAATGACATTTCCCCACTACAAATCAGTTTTTTTCAAACTTCTACCAAAAAAACAACTGCACCCCCATTTTTTCTCACCACTACTATTTTACAGATATTTCTTTATCCGAAAAAAGGTAATATATAGTCTACATCTCTTACTTGCAATTCCTGGAGAATGGAAGCAGCCTCGTTGACATCTCCACTCTGTTCCTTGATATTGGCTAAGGTCTTTGTCAGTCTGGCACGCTCAATCTCTACGTAGATCTGTGAGGAACATAAGTTGAGTGCATTAGTAAGGAGCATGTGTTGAGCAGAATGGTGACCTCTTCATCACCACAGCCTACTCTTGACATACCTGACCACATTTGTATCCACACAGAAGGAAAAAAAGTTTAATGTAACACAGACTTGCAGACTTAATGTCTATGGATGAAACACAAACATTTTAGCGGATCCACAAAAGGAATGCCTGATACTTCCAAACATAATGGTTTTAAATTGGCAACAGTTCTGATCCGCCCATTTATGCTTTTGCTTTTGTCTGTTCTGACACACATGAACCCATTCCAGACCTTGCCAGCAGTCACAGTGCGAAGCGTGTCTATAAGTCTCAGCTTGATGGTCAGATCAGCGACAGCATCCACATATTTGTAACATTCTTGCACCATTTTGGCAACCGCCTGATAAGACAACAAGCACAAGACAAACCAGATGTAGATGTGAGTAATTATAGCTTTAAAAAAAAAAACCTGCATGTCTAACTGAGAATATGTTTTGACATCAGTGATAGAAAAAAAAAAAAGCCAACTGGGAAAAACAGGTGTCTGACCTGTTTGAGCTGGCTCCTCCTTTTGGAGAGCAACATGATGTTTTCATTCAGGGAATCCCAGTCTTTGGCTTCATAGCACATCTGGACCACAGCTACAAGGATTCTGGAAGTGGACACCATGTCAGATGCCTGTACAAGGGTTTGAAGGCAGATAAGCAAACATTTAGTCAGCTAATCACGTATTTCATTAACTACACAACTCTGTAAAACATCACCTTCTCATAAAACAATGATGCTGAGGACCCAAACACTTTAATTTATCCAAGGACATTGTTATTACAAGATGCTGCTCAATGTTTTGCTTCAGTGTTTCATGAAGCCTTTTGTAGCCAACAGTTGCTGCTCTGGCTATCTATTTGCAATTGTTTTTCTAAATTAAGATATGTTTCACTGCTTAGGTCAATTCCAGCAGATATTAATTTAAGATGAATTTAAGATCCGCTATGTGTTGCGATATTTTAAATCAGAAAATATGATAGGGGCTACTACTGCGATCTATAGACTGACAAGTCATGTCAAATCTTATCATGAATCATCAAAGTAGTTATGATATTCTCATTTAGAGCTAAACATCCTAGATGTACGGAACTTCCCCGGGTATATGAAGGGAAAATAATCCAGCTGTTCGAGTACTGGACACAATTACATAAGTACACTGACTTACTGTTCTGGTTTGCTTCTCCAATGACAACAAGCCCTCAATAGCCTCTTGCAGTTTGCCCTCCTGCAGCAGAATAATACATAAACTCAGCTTCAGTCACACTATTTACTTAAATGACAAATGTTAACTCCTCTTATTGGAATTAACGTTACAAAGTATGAGAAGGAACTTTAGGTGGTTAGCAACTTAAGCTAGTTAAAATACTGTCAATGGCTAACGTTAGACTCCAAATAGTGGCTAGCATGCTAGCGAGATTATTAACAAACACAAACATATATAAAAGGGGAGGGTATGCATGGAAGTCAAAACATTATATTATTTATCAGTAATTATCACTCAACGCATTGGTTTCACACTGTTTCCAGGTAATATTAAGGCATGTATATGTTAGCTTTTATGCTAACGCTGTGCACCATGACTCAGCCGGGGCTGGCCTCTTTCACGCTACATACTTTAGCCATTTTTTCGCATTCCGGTAGACGCTGGTCTACAGTTGAACTGTAGTCAATCTCCATCTTCACCATCTTCCCATCAGATCTTTCAGACCGCTCCTCGGACATGCTTGCTGTATACAGGTGAAGATAATGTACAGAGCTTTTCTTTTCTCACGATCAAACTCAGCCTAGCACTATTTTGCTTGTCAAATGAACGAAACGGATAAAGCTGACCAATCAGGGGAGAGAACCGAATAGTTGTGTGAGGCGCCTGAAGGACCCAGTGAGGACCCTTCAAGGATGTTTCAGACAGGCATTTATGGTGTTTTTTCGGGTCAGTGTATTTTTCAAATAATATATTCAGTACTCTCATTTAGTTGTTTATCAGGTACGCCAAGCGAAAACTAATGTAGTCTAATATGAAAATCTTGCAGTGCTCTCTGCATGAAAGTTATTATGTTTGTTGTTGTTGAAACTTAGACTGGTGTAGATTCAAATGAATTATTTGGAGGCTATAGGTTGTGGTGTTGTTGAACTGTGGGCTACTGGCAGTAGCCTACTGCATTATACAGAAGTGTGTTTCAGTTATTTAGTCCAGCTTCACTGGAATAACTCAATATGATGAAGTGCCAAAAACTACAAATTCGAAAATTATAATATAGTTGAATCAACACCTTGCTAAAACAGTATCAACTAAAATTAAACATTACAACCGCAGTCAAGGTACTGTTTGGTTGCATTAGTTTTAGCTAGATATAGCCTACCTAGTAAATTATCAACTAAGTAGGCTACATGTTTTTTAATTTGTTATAATCAAAAGCCCACATTATAAACTATGGGAATAATAGGCATATAGATAAAGTATACCATATTAGTATTCAGTGAAATCTCTCCTTGTTTTCTTTGGCTGAACAATGGTGATGAATTAGTGACTTTACCATAATTATGTATATTTTATTATTACATGCATGCTGTGAATGTGATGATAGTCTGCATGTATTTTATTAATGACTTGTTGAAGACATTTTTCAATTTGAATATGTTTAATTAAGTGAATTTAAAATTTTTTGATATCCAGAGTCAGCCCTGTGATAGTCTGGTGACCTATCCAGGGTGTACCCCACCTCTCACCCAATGTCAGCTGGGATTGCCCCCTCCACCACCACCAACACACACACACACATCCAGGTTTATGCTATTTCTAAGTCATCACAACTGGACTGACTAATGATGGGTGCCCCTCCCTAAACAGCAACTTTAATCCCTCTACCAGGCAGACACTATTCATACACTTGTATGTTATTACATGTGCTGTCATTTAATTGTTGCGTTTAATTTACATTGAATGTTTTAATGTAATTTTCATTCTAATGTTTTATCTATGTTTGTTGTTAAGCACTTTGAATTGACTTTGTGTATGAAAATGTGCTATATACTGTAAATACATTTGCCTTACTGTACACTGTCATTTTGAAAATTAAACAGTTTTACACTCAATTTTAATCTCATTTTAGTGTAGATGAGGAGGGCGATGATGCCCATATGTCATTTGCTTTTTCTAAAATCACCTTTGACTTCATACATATGGTAGACCTAAAAAAGATGACACAAAACCTACACAAAAATGTCACACTTATCCTGAACACATCAATAAAATGGTAAGGGCCCGGGATGGAGTGGAATTAAAAGTTGGCATAGGACTGGCCCTCAAAAACCCATCTAGTGAAACATCAGCACAGTAGGCTAAAGTGTGACCATGCAACATACACAGCTACAGTATTTAAAGCATTTGGATTTTTTTTTTCAAATTTAACTTCATTTCTCTGAGCTTGTCAGCCACACTTTTTTTGATTAACTGCCATTTCTGTAAAGTAAGTGGGTCACAGTTAACTGTGGATGGGGGCAGACACACTTGCTCTTTCTCTCTCTCTCTCCCTCCCTCTCTCCTGTCGTTTACTTTCTTTGTCTTTTATGGTGTTTTTTATTCACACACTGAGACACTGCAATGGCCAATGCCTTTGGTCATGGTGAATGAAGAACTTTGTGAATGGACAATATGATATGAATGAACATGAGGTGCAATGGCTACAACCCACCAGTGGGTGTCGCTACAGGGTTTGCCTTGTGTATTCCTCTCGTCACAGTTCAGTGCGTTGAAAGACTCCGCTGCCGCCATAAATAAAGAAAATGTGGGTCAGTGATTTCCTGCTCGTGGCAGAGAGAGCCCCTAAGCCCTGAGCTGAAATCAGTTTGATCCCAGTGTAGGCTCATCATAGACCTTGGAGGCTTGATAAACGGAACATGACTTTGATCCACTGAGAGGAAGATCAAATAGGTTATGGAACAAGAGCTCTGATTGCAGAGGCAAAAAAAATATTGTCAGTGCTCTGAGCACACTTTTCAGACTTCAAAAACACCAGGAATAGCTCAGCTGAAGAGGACTAATTGAAGCCTCAAATAGCCATCATCAAGATCATAATCATCAGTATTGTGTTTGTCAATACCATTGATGACAATATCAGGTTAAGCAGTATCTGGGCCATGTATTTAAGAAACTGATTAGTCTTGGTTTACAAATTTGATCTCAGCTGATGTAGAGAGCTGATCATTCCTGGCACAACTCACACTGAAGAAAAACAAGTCTCAACAAACCGAGTATCTCCCCGTTAACGCTTCACCTAACTGGTTCTCTGCAAAACTGTGGGACAGAACTGTCAATTTCAGAGCTTACACATTTGTGTGATTTTCTTGACATGATATGCTTGACACAGTTCAAATGATATTAGGTTCTAATTGCCTTTATAAACAACAGACACCTTATTGAAATAGTTAGGTCATCAGTGGGTCATGGCGATTTGAGATATCACTTATGTGGAACCCATCACTGTCCCCATGCATGGCCGTTAAGCTTAAGGTTTTAGACAGATCACCAAAACGGCCTTGTGTTTTAAAAAGTTGTTCCCTATGTGTCAGAGAAAATGCATAGAAACTTTGTTAAAATGCACATGAAACTGTCATAATGGTGAGATGACATGGCTGAAGACATCTCTAATAAAAATGTCTTCAGGCATTTTAGGGAATGTCTTATTTATCTAAGACATGTAATGCATATAAAACTTGGATAGTTGTCAGATGGCTTAAGATGTTTTTGTAATGCTGATGGTGTCCAAGGACCTCGTGGCTACTTAGGGTTTCCATTTTTGGTCAGAGTTGTATACTTTTTATTTTTCAAATCAGTTATTTACAAATCCAGACTTCAATAGTAGAAGCTGAAATTTTACAGCTGCTGATTTAATTTAAAAATGCACAGGCCTCAGCTACCACACACTGACATGTGCATGATATTCTACATCAACCCTTCAATCTAGAGTCAAAGAAATAATTTGGTATGGCATAGTGCAATATACAGTATATAAGGCTATATACAATATACAGTAGTACATAGTACTGTAGTATAAGAGCTACCTTGTATCTACTAGCACATACTGTATACTAACAAGCTTGTGTGACTGTGTGGCTACTTTGGCCCTATATAAACCCACACCGTAACTGCAGTGGAGGAACAAGTACTCTAACTGTTTACTTAAGAAGCATTGGCATCATAATATATTTAAAGTACTAAAAATAAAAGTACTCATTATGATGAAATGGGGAATTTTACATTAGTGTAAATCATATTACTGGATTATAATGAATGATGCATTATACATCACATATAATGCTTCAGCTGGTAGCTCATTTTAACTATATGCTTATAACGTGAATTACTGCTGGGTAGCTTGTGAATTTCCCTCCAGGGATCAATAAAGCCGTATGATTATACTGTATTTTATATAGTTAACCTGATTCTGAAAAGTAACTAGTAACCAAAGTTATCAAATAAATGTAGTGAAGTAAAAAGTACAATATTTGTCTTTAAAATGTAGGGAAGTATAAAGTAGCAGAAAATGAAAAAACCCAAGTAAAATACAGATACCCCAGAACTGTTCTTAAGTAGAATACATGAGTAAATGTATTTAGTTACCTTCCACCACTGCTTAATTGTTTTGAAACTAAATAGCTACCTAGAGTGATAGTATTTTCTGAAATCAGCATTTATTTTCATTGAGCTTGAGCAACCTTTGCATTTTGGTTACATGTATGTGATTCTAGTATTTATATACACATTACTGCATTGAGGCTAGCTTTCTGGAGTGTTATTATATAAATTATTTCACTGAAAATGATTGATTTAATTCATAATGTCTATTTAATGTGCTGCTACACAGTGTTAGACGATTTAACATACATGGGAAAATTAGAGTATGAATCTGATTTGCTGTCATTGGGACTATTCAGAGTTGGGAAACAATTTGCCTGAAGAAAAACATGGGGGGGAAACGGTGTGTGTAAAATGCTTCTCGAACCTTTATCCTCAGATTTAACTATGACGTATTTGTCTCTTCCTTTATAAGAAACATACACTTATGTAGCCTATAATGCATTTTATTCATTTAAGTCTTATGGCCCACCACTAATTTTAACAAGATTACAGACTTACACAAACTAGCCAAACCTGCATGGATATTTTGTTTGCATGGCATTGTTTTTTTAATTCTTTGTAAATTATTTCTTCCTATAAAGGCAGTAGTATCCCAAGGACTGACTAAACAATGTCCCTTCTTTACAGTGCTGCTCACACATTAAATGGACAGCTTAAATTTAAATGCTGTTTCAGATTTGTGACCCTGGCATGAATATATTTGCGAACAGCAAAGCAGAAGGCTTGCTGACAGAGCAAGAAACTGTTTGTCAATATTCATCACAGAAATATGACTGTGGATTTTGCTGAGCAAACCCAAATAAATCAAAGGTATCAATCAAGTAATTTTACAACTTCTACCTTAATTTAACAGCACTCTTTATTAACATGTGTACCTTGTTTTTTTTTTGTTGTTTGTCAAGACAAGCAGGACTCTGCAGGACCCATTTTATTCATAAGAACACTATCATCACAGTGGGCTGTCTTGTCACTCAGCTGTACTTTCAAGAAGGCTATACACCATAGCAGACAAGCACTTTTTCATGCTTGGACAGTAATGGCAAAAGTCGTTATATACAAGGGGAAATCCCAAACTGTAGGCAGCTCCAAACTACATAACAATGTCAGCAGACCTCATTTACATTTGTTTACTGTATGTAAATTATACTAATGCGGTTTCTGTGATGGTGCCTCTGTCCTCCACATTTTCTGGCTTACTGGATATGAAAACAAACATATGACATTAAAGTGTGTCTTAAGCCCAAATAAATATGTCAGCATCAAATAAACCAAGTGAGACCCTTATTCACACAGTCTCCTGATTTTAGAGGGCCCACTATGAACAGAAGTCATCCTAATGAATATTTGCCAACTGAAGGCAACAAAGTACAGCAGACCCATTGTGTTGTTTAGTGGGGCTTTTTTGTCTTTAGGCTACTTCTTGCGGGTTTGGGGGCTTTTTACTTTCTGTGTGATCTTCAGCATGTGAAATGAATGCTAAGTCGGACAGAGGTCTGTTGACTGACTTAGCAGAAACATTTTACACTTTTATTATTAAACTACATCCAAAACAACAACAAACCTCCTTGGTTATCATGCGGGCTACGTTTGCTGCACTTTACTAAAACATTAACATCCAAAACGACAACAAACCTCCTTGGTTATCATGTGGGATACGTTTGCTGCACTTTACTAAAACATTCAATACGTAGACACCCTCCCATACCTTTAAAGCTGAAGGTCAGCACTTTAACCTTACAGCTGTCTCATTTCCAGTGTGCTGGAGTTGAGCCAAAAGAACAGAAAATGCGTCACTGTCCAAATGCTCCTGCTGATGCTAAACTAGTTGCCAATAAACCACAACTTTGTTACTTTAGAACAAGCGGCCGACACGATCCGCGTATGTGTTTGTGCGAAGTGGCAAATGTATGTGCAAGGCCGAGAGAAAACGGGGTGAGACGGATACAAGGGGAGTTCAGAAGTGAAGTGATGTTTCCTGTGCCGTGACCGAATCGACCGATGTTTCCACCAAGCTCCGGCGGGCCTCGCAGAAGGAGGAAAGGGGGGCTGGGGCTTCTGTTAACCGCTTAAATTTTCCGATTCCTTTGCAAGCTGCTTCTACATGTACAGGAAGAAGAAGCGGAGACAGAAGACAGCCACAGCCTCCCTTTCCTCCGACTCATGCTGTAGTTTCGTCCTTATAACTTTAAAGGCAAGAACTTTAACATTTAAAGCTCCAGGGGCTGTTTCACATAACACTACGTTGAAAACCACATATTTTCTTTATCAAGAATTTCAACGTGTCCTTCTAAGCTATCCGAGTAGCCAGACGGCATAAGGCTTTGTCATATCCGGTCAAACATTTTTCAAAGTAAGTTGTAGTGTAGTGAACGTGTCCAAAGCTTGTTTTCGGAGAGGGAACTGGAAAATGATTGAAAGGTCAGTGAGTAATAACACTGGGATTGACATACAGAAAATGCAGTTTGTTTAATAGTAACAGTGTAAGTATTTTCCTACATAGGCCTACATATACATTACATAGCCTACACATGTAAGCCAGTCGATATAAATTTTAATCAGTAAACACCTCAGCAAACTAAAAGATCACTGCTTGTCCACAAATCATTAGCTAAAGGAAGCCCATAACAGCTCATCAGCTTTAATTTAGGAACTAATGCATGTTATCATTGGTAGGCATTTGTTGTCCAGGTGGCCCATGGCTAACATCAGAATCAGAATCACGTTTTTTGGCCAAGTATGTTTAAACACACAAGGAATATGACTCTGGTACAGAGAATCTCAATGTGCTTTTGGAAGGCAGCAAGAAAATATGTGCATTTAAAATAGGAACGAGAAGAGGAGAAAAAAGGCAAAGTAATCTATTTATAAATACAGTATATACACCTTGTGTCAGAAGAGCTTTGAGGTTGTAGAAGAGCTTTCAGAGCATCATTAATGGTTTTAGTGTATTTAGTTAGTATGGATTAATAAACTATAAGATAGTAAGCTATACAGGCTGATGCTTCGACAAATGTTATTCAAGCTAGAGCATAATAAATTAGACTATGTAGAACAGATATGATTAAAAAGGGGAACACACTATATTCATGGTTTAGGCTACTATCTAGAAACTGATATGAGATTTACTGAACGAACAGCAAATAAATTAAACAAAGCCTAATTCATCACCCACTCTGCTGAAAGTCTTTATGAAGTGAGTTATCTTGTCTGTTAGCTCTTAAAACTACATTTTGCCATTGCAGGCTCCTCTAGGCTACAAGACGAGCTAATGGGCTGATATATGACCCGTATTTGTGCAACTTTAAATTCTTATTTTGAAATCCAGTTCCGGTTCTGTCTGGCGCTGTTTGCGTGTAACTTGTCACATCAGGGTGATAGGAGGGGACAATATTGAACCGAGCTTATTTGTACCGACACTTTCCTTACCCTAGAGTGTTTGCTGTTTCAGATGAAAGAACTCCAAACTCGGGGCGCTTTTCATAACCCGAACTGCCCCCGTTTCCACATGCGCTGACACATCTCCAGATATTACTCACATCCCGTCGGGCGGCGGAGGGAACGTTTACTTGGCAGGTTTGATACATCGTGAATACATACAAGAGACGCGCAACGGGGTAAGATGTTGCTGAAGGAATACAGGATATGCATGCCCCTCACGGTAGAGGAGGTAAGTTTTCCACCAGTTTCTACTCCTTGTTAGTTTGTTTTGGCCAGAACTGAGGTTCAGTAGTGTTCAGACAACTCTGTTCCAGACATGTGGCAGGAGAGACATGCATTCGGATTAACTTGAAGTACTTCACTGAAGACCGTTACCTCATCCCCCTGTCCTTCTCTGTGAAACCTGTTTAAATCATTCTGCTAAGCAGAAGTCGACAGTGCACTCACGAGTTGTTGTTGTGTCACACATAACGCTGCACTTTTAGGGAAAAGAACTCAAATAAACCTAAATATAACCTGTTATTGGAAGATACAAAACAAACGGCACGCTTTACGCTCTGATCTCATGGTTTGGACAAAAAAATAGTTTAGATAGTTTGTGTTGGTTTGGTAGAACAATGACATCACATGGATCATTATTATGTGGTCAGCACCCTGGAAGAGGAACTATAAGACCATAGCAATGCTGTGGTTTCAGCACTGTTGGTCTCTCTCTCACACACGCACGCACGCACGCACGCACACAATTACATGTAGGATAAATCCCCTGCATTAAATTCATGCTGCCCTATAGGTTGCGTATAATGACACCAACACAGTGCGTAGCAGGGGTTTTCATACTTGCTGGTGTTTCATACCAGTAGTTGCACTTGTGCTGCACTGATGGACAGCAGAGAGAAAGGCATGTTGTCTGTATTCAGCCTTTTTGTCAATCTGTCTGAGGACTCAAGTCTAAAATAGAAGGTGAAGATAATTCCACCCGTGTCCTGGCATGCACGCCGTACAGTATGATAGCACCCTCTTTAATTATCACCCATGTCATTGTTTGCTAACTCATCTCCATGGCTTGTGTTGCTGTGCTCCGTGGGTGGTGGTGTTGGTTTTCTTATAGCCGAGGGCTATTGTTCAGGTGCAGCGTCTTCACTGAAACCATGTCCTTTTAGACTGGGACTTGAAAACCTAGGTGAGATCTCTCTGAAGAAACATGAAATCTGAATAAACTGTATGTGCCAAACATAATTGAGGTGTTTTTCATTTAAACAGTTATTTTTTTAGGAGAGAGAGGGAGAGCTGAACACAGAAAAATAACAATTTTGCTTTCAAATCTATAACTGGCCACTCACATTTCCTTCCCTTCAGTCCCTCGCTGTAATGATGATCTGACGATTGGTTTCCAGCACATTTAACCTGCAGCAAACTGAGTCAAGTTCATGCTCATTTTGTTCTCAAGACTGTTAAAAAGTATTCGAGGAATTGAAAAGATCACTGTCGGATGGTGTGAAATGAGATGCTCCTTGCTTTGCCTTACAGGCTAATGGGATGGGTTCACATTTACATGAAACTATTGCCAACAATAATATCCATCCTTCTGGAGGCTGTCTGACTCATACAGAAACCTGTGGTCAAAAGAAAATTTTCACTCTCTATTACAGGGGTGTTCTGGGAAGAATGTGGTTGCAGGTATTCTTGCACATGCTCTTGTATTACCTCTGTGTGTGTGTGTGTGTGTGTGTGTGTGAGAGCTTTCTTTTTACAGCAGCGCATTTTTACAGTACTATTTTTGCTGAGGCAAGTTTGCCCCACCTCCTGTATATACGGGACAAGGCGGAATGTGGGGTTGGAGGTCCGTGTGAGAGAGAGAGAGAGTGAATGAGGAGAGAGAGAGAGCAGGGTCATTGAAAGTGTATCAGAGTTTTAAAATTTTACTTTGGTTGTTTAACTGTGGTTACATTCTAAATCCAGAACAAACACAACTACACCATTTTAAAACCCTGTGGGCAGGATTTTGTGTGAATGCAGCCAAAACGCAGCTCAAGTCTGTTCTGAGGTGAGGTGCACCTTGTGCGTGTGTGTGTGTGTGTGTGTGTGTGTGTGAGTTACGCAGACCTGAAATGGGATGCATATAGCCTATATAGTAGGTTACTGTAATTCCCAATTTCCATTAAAAAAAAAATCTAAACAAAATCAGACAACAGCCTGTTTTTGTTTTCAGATTGACTGCGAATTGCATGGAGGATAGCTTTCTCTAGTACTGGGATTCTGGCAGCTGGGTAAAAGAAACACAGGAGTAGCATTTTGTCAGTGTTTTAATCTCTGTGTAAACAAGCTTAAATCAAAAAAGCTGCCTTGAAGGAGAGTCAAAATGCCGGCAGTTTTCCACTATCTCTGTGTAAAAGGGGCTAGTGTCTAGTGCAAACAGATGGTTGTTATGAGAAGCCAGAACATTGTAATTAAAGGCTCAGGCTGTGATCAGATTAGAACAAAAAAGGTTATCCCACCACAAAAATTTACAACACAGGATTAGATTACACATTTCTTCCAAAAGTGACAAGTCTGTTAATACAGAGAATCCCACTAGACAACAGTTACATCAATGGTGTTGGATTTTCTGATGCTAAACGCTGATTTCCATCAGTAATATTTTCAAACAGTGGTGTAATCAAACCTTTATTTTCAGTTATGGTCTGCTGCACCAAGTCAGTCTCTTAAAGTACAGTATCCTTTCACTTTCACTTGGCCAAGAAAATAAAGGGTCACACCTTCAACATTAAGGCTTGTCTTATCAGCATGTGCTGCTGTAACTTCCTGCCCCTATAAATTGCTACAGAGAAAACCACTTCCGTTTGAATGCAGACCAACCCTACAAGACTTGCGATTAAGCAAAACAACCCACCTCACTTGCTAGCATGGATATTTTACTTACTTTTGTCAAGCTTTAAGGTTGTGATGAAGGCTCAGAAGGTTACCGACAGTATATTGAAACAAAACAGGATAATGAATTTCTTAGAAATACAATATAATGAGAAGTGTGTACATCTGTGGGATTAAAAACAAACTGGGTGTGGAAACCTACAACTGCCCCAAGCTTTTACACTGGATTCACAAAGAAATGGGGCTGACCCGACTAAGAATTTTTTTTAGTCGACTCAGATTCGGCTGTTCAGTGCAATGATTTGACTTTTCATTCTTATATAAATATATGAAACATTTAAAAATCAATGAATGACAGCTGATTATGATGCAAGATTTCAATTGCAACCTATTGAAATTGACGATATATATATAGTGTTGGGCTGCCTTATGGATTTGTCAGAATAACGAGACAGGCAGCACACTTGTACTTCTTTTGAAACAATGGTCTTTGACATGGTTATAGCCTAGTTTATAGCTTCCCCCATCAGTTAATTACAGCACATGTAGTTACTGTGTGTTTGATGTTTGCCAGCTTGAACTGAGAAGATATGAATATATATTTATGATTCTTCTTATTTATAATTCTTCATTGAACTGTTTTCCCAATACAGTTAGTTTTCTTCCTATTCCAGTTTGGATGGATCCGTGTTGCAGAAACATAAGAGAAACAGCTGTGCATTACACTATAATGGACATGAGCAAACACCTGGACGCACATTGGCAAATATAAACTGCTATAAAAATTAAGGCAACACTTGAGTATAACACCAAGTCAGTTAAACTTCAGGGATATCATTCTGTCCATTTAGGAAGCACAAGTGATTGTGAAACTGTTTCACCTACTTTGGTGCAAATTAAGGTGACAACAGGTGCAAAGGAGAGGCAAAAGCAAGACAACCCCCCCAAAAGGGAATGGTTTCATGTGTGCTGGCCACAGACAAATGCCCTCTCCTTATCCATCATGACTGATTCTTCTCAAGTTTTGTGTCCTGCTAGTGTCCTTGTCACAGGTGGTAGCATGACGCAGTACCTGTACCACTGTAGAGGTAGTCCAGTTACTCCAAGATGGCACATCCATACATGCAGTCGCAAGAAGTTTTGCTGTGTCTCCCAGCACAGTCTCCCCAATGTCTTCTAGTACGACCTGTGCTCACAGCCCACTGTGCAGCTTGACTAGCATTTACCAGTGAACACCAGAATTGGCAAGTCCACCACTGGTGTCCCATTCTTTTCACAGATGAGAGCAGGTTCACACTGAGCACACATTACAGGTGTAAAAGAATCTGGAGATGCCATAGTAAAGATTATGCTGCCTGTTACATCAACAGACCAGTTTGGTGGAGGGTTAGTGATGGTCTGGGGAGGCATATCATTGGAGGGCAACACAGACCTCCATGTCATAGCCAGCAGTACTCTGACTGCTGTGAAGTACCAGGATGAAATCCTCAGATCGACTGTCAGACCTTACGCTGGTGTAGGCGGCCCTGGGTTCCTCCTGGTGCAGGACAACACCTGGCCTCATGCGGCCACAGTGTGTAGGTGGTTAATGGATGACAAAGGCGTTGATACCATTGACTGGCCCTCGCGTTCCCCAGACCTAAATCCAACTGGGCGCCTATGGGACATTGTGTATCGGTGCATCTGATGCCACCAAGCACCACCACAGATTGTCCAGGAGCTCACTGGTCCCCTACCAGTTTGGTGGAGGGTTAGTGATGGTCTGGGGAGGCATATCATTGGAGGGCAACACAGACCTCCATGTCATAGCCAGCAGTACTCTGACTGCTGTGAAGTACCAGGATGAAATCCTCAGATCGACTGTCAGACCTTACGCTGGTGTAGGCGGCCCTGGGTTCCTCCTGGTGCAGGACAACACCTGGCCTCATGCGGCCACAGTGTGTAGGCGGTTCATGGATGACAAAGGCATTGATACCATTGACCGGCCCTTGCGCTCCCCAGACCTAAATCCAACTGGGCGCCTATGGGACATTGTGTATCGGTGCATCTGATGCCACCAAGCACCACCACAGATTGTCCAGGAGCTCACTGATCCCCTGATCCAGGTCTGGGAGGAGATTCCCCCAGGACACCATCAGCCGAGTCATCAGGGACATGACTAGATGTTGTGGGGAGTGCATACAGGCACCCGGGGGCCACACACACACTTCTGAGTCACATTGTGAGTTGCTGTGATAAAATGCATACAACTTTGATGAGCCTGTGATTTCATTTTTTCACTTTGATTTTCAGTGTGATTTTTAATACAGCCCTCCACAGGCTGATGATTTTTGGTTTCCATTGACTGTTAGGTCATTT